CATGCACTGCCTGATACTGTCTTTTTGCTAGTGATCACTTCAGCACAAACAGTTAGGAAACTGCATGCTCTGGTGATAATCTTGCCCTACCATGCCTACCATGGTGGTAGCCAGATGACTCTGGAGTGATATTGTGTTTGAGTCCAGGTTCCTGCCTTATTTCATTTCACTCAAAATTTTTGATTGACCTTGCAGCTTTCAGTGAATGTAATCCTGCAGAGCATTCCTTGCTGTGCCCAGTACATGCCCCACAGACAAGACAGTGATGATCTATTCCTCAGACCAACTGCCCATCTGCCACTAAGGAAAGACATGGGTTACCTTGTCTAATCACAGCCTGGCCCACTGGGTGTGACATGTCACTCTACAAGGAGTATCTCTTCTTCAGTGGCATTATTATTAAAGCTATGCCAATCCAGGAAGTCTGATAACTGAGTACCATCATGCACTTTTTCCAGGTTCTACAAGGAGAAAAGTGTGAAATGAAGGATGAAATAGGACTTGAGTCCAGGTTTCTATTCATTCAGAACTGGTGCTGAAGGATCAGTCCAGAGAAGAATAGATATAGGCTTTATGACAGTGGAATTTTTTGCAAATACTGCATCATATGTCACTACCAGAGTATTTTGAAAGGTTCTAGCTTGAGGTATCCAGGTGATTCTCACCTCCATTGGTGGTTATCATGGATTCATACAACCACAGTTACATGAGTAACTGGTGATAAGATTACAGTTAAAGTGGTAAGCATTATCAGAACAGTGTTTCTAGATGACTACCCTGCAAAAATGAAATCAAGTGAAAATACCTTAAATATAGTCAAATTTTATCTAGTATTTCCTATTATAAGATTACAATAAACCAAATATAATATTATTAAACCTATTTCAATCCATTTGTACTCATTTCAAGTTTGAAATAGTCTTGTTCAATTGGCAGATAATTTTACTCATTTTAAGCATTTATTTCTAAAAAGAAGCAAAATTATCTGCCAATAGAATAAGAAAACTACAAGCTTGAAATGAGTAATAATGTCCGGAAATAGGTTTAATTATCTTATATTTGGTTTATTGTAAACTTATAATAAGAAATACTAGATAAATTTGACTATATTCAAGATATTTTCACTTGCTAAGATGACTTTTTTTTTTTGTAGCGAGGGAACCTAAGCTAGCTAACAGCTGAGGCTAAAGATTTAGCTAGCTAATACTTACTATTTGTAAAACATGAGAGGATGCTGACTCATGTACAAAATAGCTGAGCTAAGAAAGAGAACTTCATGTTGTCTTTGAGCATGCCCCTGACATTGTGGTGCAGTTTTCTCATTGTGGTGTTTTTTTCCCAGGTGGCGCAGCTTGCCAAGGCAAATACTGCGGCAGGAGGAGAAAGTAAACACTCTCTTGGGATGTGAAATGACCTCAAGAAACAATGGTGCTACTGCATGATCTAGAATGTACATTTGATATGCAAAAACAATCCTATCATGTACAAAAATATGTTTTATACCTACATTAAATGTTTTTTTTACAAACCCAAAGAGAAGCTGAGGAAACAGGATGAACATTACAGCTGTTCATGTGACACATTCCAACATGTTGCTGATGTCTCTTTTTGTAGATAGGGACACCAAATCAAGAAACTAATAACCAGGTTCATTATTTGTCATTGTAGACCTTGAGGCACTAATTTCTCTTTTTTCTCAAGATTTTGAAAGACAAAAGCCATGATATTTCCCTTCTGATGGTGGTGGCAATGGTTGATAGACCTTGTGTAACAGAATTGGTTTATAATTTTGCATTATCTAATGCTCTTTATTCTTGTTTGTTCATATTTATAGGTGATGGACTTTTGTGCCTAGATAAAAAAAATGGTTTATCAAGTACCTCTGTGGAGACCCCTGTGCTCCAAACAAGTCAAAAACATTCAAACAAAACATCAGCCGTGGTATTTTTTGTAAATAGGCCTTTCCAAACTTTTTAAAACTTATATTGGATATTGGTCTTTATTGGCATTAGGGTTGTGAAGCTATTTCAGTCATAATTCCATCCAGTAGTCATGAAGAATCCTACAGAATGTGACTCTGGGGACATGTATCCTCGTATTTCATCCATACCGTTTACAGTAAATCAGAGTCCTGATCTAAAAGCAGGTCAAAATCTCAATGATTTCCGGGTACAAAAACATCAGCAGTTGTGAACCATGGTGGATATGACTGAGGCTGTATCGTCCATACTTTAGCTCAGCTATGAAACAGTTCTGCAAAAGACCTAATGGCATGTGAAAAGTGTTGAAAAGTGTTTCGAGGCATCTGATAAGATCCACTGTATCGTCTCGTCCATTTTTGCTAATTGTGTTATATATGAAGAGCTGACTTGCTAAGATAATGTTGCTACGATGCAAAAGTGAAAGACATATGCATTTTTATCAATTAACAAAAATTCAATTTACTAAAAAAGAAATAATAGTGCTGATTTTACAATAGACTAGTTTTGAACCTGAAACAAATGACACTTCTAACATTCCTTAAACATGCGGAATTGGTGCTTCCATTATTTGATCTACAGATGTTTAACCCCTTTATATTCAAAGAATTAGCTATTATATATCGTATGCATACAATATGATGGCTCATGTAACTGCAGGTTAATTTGCTTTGTTGCTGTTTTGTTTGCACCATGTGAACTTGACCTTGACATTATTACCAAGTTTGTACACATGATAACAAAATATTGTTTTCTGTTTTGTTTTGCTTTCAGTAGCTTATGCATTTTAGTCACTGTGGAAATCTGTAATACTGTAGAAGATTTTTTTAAGATGTGAGCTGTGTGTCTGAGAGCTAAAGCGTGTGTGTGTGTGTGTGTTTGAGTGTGTATGTATGTTTGTATGTGTGTCTGTGATAATCCCTGGTGTGTGTTGTTATGTCTATATTTTGTCTAATTGACTAAGCTTCTCTTAATAAGCGTCACTAGCCAGTGTATTACCCATCTAATATTAAATTAGTTCTTCTTAATGATTAATATTTCATGTCATTGGTAACATGTACTGTTTCGAATTGATCTGAAATGTGTTTTTCCTACCTGGTGCTGTATTTGACCTGTCTGTGGTCATATAAGTCTAATGTGCCGTGGCATTTCCATCTAATTTAACTAAAGGGGTAGGGCTATTGCACTTTTTTCCCACGGTGCACATTTGACTTGTTCCAGGAAATCTGGGCCTTTTTACTGCTTTAGTGAAAACGAAATAAACCGTTCTGAAATGAAAAAGAAAAGTGGTCGTGCATTATTTCACTGTAATGTATTTTATATTCATAATAAATGTAGTGCACAACAAAGAAGCAAGCTAAATATATCAGGTTGGCTACACCAAGACATGGGATTGCATTAAGAAATGCATAATATGCATGCTAAATAGTATGTCAAAACTGTACACTAGTACTTTAGCATATTACGTAGTATGTTAGAGCACCCTGGCATTCATGCTGTAACTGTTTATTATTTTTAGGGGTGGCAGTCAATCAGTGAAAGAGTTGATTTGACTCCACAAAAGAGGTAGAGTTGACTTTGGGGTCACTTGCAACCTCACAGTTCTCATTTTCACATGCCTGCTATGTTAATTTATCTTTTAATCAAGCCGCATTAAAGTAACAGCTTTTGACACCATACATTTAAATATAAATTCATTATAAATTAATTAGATTTTGACACAGTACATTTAAATATAGATTAATTATTTTGAACTTCATTAGTCACTGGCTAGTAAATAAAGATTAAAATCATATTGGTCATTGTATCACAACCAATATTTCTTCTAATCAGCATAAGCTGATTCAGTCATCTTCAGTAACCACTTTATCCTGGTCAGGGTTGCGGTGGATCTGGGGCCACTGTGTAAGTATCACTGGATAAAAGGCATGTACCCTGGATGGGGTAAATTTACACATAGGGTATTGATCATAGCCAATCCAGTCATATGCATGCAGAGATAATCCTCGCTGCAGAACCAAAAGTCCAAGGGCTGACCCATGAGATGTTCTACAACATGGAACAACACATTTATCACGAACACACACACACACTTTTATCTAGCGTGAAGCACACTGAATTTTCCCCACCTGGACGTTCAGCTCTGCCCAGGTTGGAGGAGCTGATTCAGGTCAAACCCCACCCTCTGGACTTTTGGTTCTGGAGCGAGGGGTACGTGGAATGGCAAGCCAATGTAAGTGCACTGCCATGAACTCAACTAGATTGTAACAAAGTCTTGAAGACTATTTCAAATGCTTGCTTTTATTTATGCCCTCAATCACTCACGTGCCACAGGTCCACACCTGGATGGCATCACCAATGTGCTGACAGTGGAAGAGGACTGCACAGTTTAGAGCATGATTTGGGACAGGGCCTCAGAAAGTAATGCCTATTTCAAACATTAGTAATCTTTTTTCATTTTGGTAAACAACAGACTTTAAAAAACTGGCTTGTTGAACTCTAGGAATTGGAGTCTACACTTAAACCGAACAGCACTAGCTGTTTAAAGTACTGCGCACAAATGACTCCATCCTCCCTACACGGCAATAATGTAGTACACTACATCTAAAAGAGATTGCTTTCAAAATAATTCACAAATATTACCCTGCAAACCAGTATATGAAAAAGTTTAAATATGGAATATGCTCCAGTTGCTCTTTTTGCGGTGACTCTGTTGAAACTGTTGTTTTGTTCATTTACAAAAAAGCTTTGGCAAGATATTTCAGGATTTATCCATCCATCTATTCTCTGTACCACTTATCCTACACAGGGTTGTGGGGAGCCTGGATCCTATCCCGGGCGACTCAGGGCACAAGGTGGGGGACACCCTGGGCACAGTCCATCACAGGGCACAATCGCACACACACACTACAGACAATTTTGGGATGCCGATCAGCTTACAGTGCATGTCTTTGGACTGCGGGAGGAAACCGGCGTACCCTGAGGAAACCCCCGAAGCACAGGGAGAACATGCAAACTCTGCGCACAGGGGGGCGGAGATCGAACCACCAACCCCTGCGAGGCAAACGTACTAACCACTAAACCACTGTGCCCTGTTAGTTCAGGATTTCAGGATTTTTTAGGAGTGAAATTTATAATGAGTGTGCATTGTGATGGTAGGATGTGGTACTGGGCTTTGTTGACTAGGATCAATCTAAAAAAGGACAATTTTATGTAACACATCTGATTCTGTTGCTTACCAAGTTCCACATTCACAGATTCAAATATTCTCTAGACTTCTTTTTGTTTTTTATAAAAGAATTTGTTCAATATTGCTTAAATTATCTAAGAACAACAACAAAAAAAAACATTTATTTGTAATTCTTTTCCAGTTTTTAGTGACTTCTCCAAACTTGTCAATATTTCCAGTTTATTCTGTATTTAATTCCCCCCACCCTTTTTTTTTCTTTTTTTTCCTCTGTTTTGTTTCTCATTGTTGTTATCTGGTATTGTCTGTATATTGTTTTGAGCATTAATATTAATAAAATAAATATTATACTACATCTCCAGTACTCATCCTCAGGAGATTTTACTAGCTTACACCGCGCTTCCGGTCACTTTTCCAGGGAATTGGGTTCGGTTGGCCTATTCGAAGCGTGTGATTGGTCAACTGAAAGCGTTGTCCCGCCCCCTCTCACTGCCTCCTGCCGCCCTGCCCATCGCTCCATTGGGCGAATTGGCCGCGTCCCATTTGGAAAGAGCATAGTGTGCTAGCCGCTCTGTTGAGCAGGTCGGTGTTTTGGGGCGGAAGAGCTCGGACATTCCTGCGCTAGGCTCGTGGCGGAGTTCCCAGCCGGAGGGTGAATGAGGTTGATGCTGCTCTGCTGTACCTGGAAGGACGAACGCATGGGAGAGGACGAAGGTACGTGTGTATGTGTTTATATGGGTTTGATGAGCGCGTGCGAGAGGCGGAGATGGGAGTGAGCACTTCTTTCCTATAGGCTGCAGCTTAGAGGTCGTATGGGATGCTCACTGCAGGTCGCTTACCAAACAGCCTCTTCTAGAGGCTTCAGCTTAAAGTTAGCATACACAGATTTTGCGCATGAGATTATTTGGGAATATTGTGATTATTATTTGGTTTAGGTTTGGGATTTAAGCGCGTGAGTTTCCTCCTTATACAAGCCACAGTGCGGAAATATAAGAAATGTACTGCTGGGGGGATCTGTGCAGAAATCCTTTCACTGCAGCTCTGTTTGTTTGTTTGTTTGTTTGTTTGTTTGCTTTTTGATATTTTCTTTGGACTTGTCTGTGGTTGTTCTCAGTAGAGTTTATTTAAGCATTCATGACCATAATAGCTGTTTCTGTAAAATTACTCTCTTACAGGATTTACACATCACACAGCCCTTTAATTTAAATTTCATTTAGAATATGAAGAGGTATTAAACACTGTGCAAAGACTATAGGTCTCTTCTTTCTGTCTGTCTGTTTGTCTACTGTTTTTCTTTCTTTCTTTCTTTCTTTCTTTCTACCTTGTCTTTCTTTCTTTCTTTCTTTCTTTCTTTGTCTACTATTTTTCTTTCTTTCTTTCTTTCTTTCTTTCTGTTTACTTTTCTTTTTTTTCTGTCTGTCTACTATTTTTCTTTCTTTCTTTCTTTCTTTCTGTCTGTCTGTCTACCTTCTATCTTTCTTTCTTTCTGTCCGTCTACCTTCTATCTTTCTTTCTTTCTGTCTGTCTACTATTTTTCTTTCTTTCTGTCTGTCTGTCTACCTTCTATCTTTCTTTCTTTCTTTCTGTCCGTCTACCTTCTATCTTTCTTTCTGTCTGTCTACCTTCTTTCTTTCTTTCTGTCTACTATTTTTCTTTCTGTCTGTCTACTATTTTTCTTTCTTTCTTTCTGTCCATCTACCTTCTTTCTTTCTTTCTTTCTTATCTGAACACATTTCTCAGAGTAAATATAGTCCGCCTCCTGTCTACGCCACAAGCTCAAATGACTCATGGCATGTTTTTATCTCTCTTTCTCGTGGCTCTCATGTGAGCTATCAGGGTGTAGTGTCAATTTATTTAATAAGCAAAGAGCAGCATTTGTTTAAAAAATTCAGAATAAAGAACCAAATATCAGAATATGATAAGTGTGTGTGTGTGTGCATATTCCTGCCTTCAGAAGACATCTTTTTATTGATTAGTTTTTAATATAGGCAGCACAGTGGCACGGGGGGTAGCGTTGCTATCTCCCGGTTTGATCCTGTGCTCGGGTTACTGTCTCTGCCTGCGTTTTCCGGTTTCCTCCCATCTCCAACTTGTGTGTGTGCTTGTGACATCATTTGGCAGAAAGGCGAGTAGATCGTCTAGATAGACTGTCCATCGATTGAATGCCAGTCAAATTCGTTTTAAGAGAGCAGAGAGCAAAGTTCTAACACTCTTATGGGAAAACAGGAATCAGCGATGAATGGATGCTGTTTGTCACGTTTCCAGCTGGACAAATTTCATTTCTGGAGAACGATCATTTCATGAAAGTCTGACATGATGCTAAAATAGATTATTATGCATTTAAAAGTACACAGTGATCTATTTTCATATTAGTGCTGTAGACCTGCTGATTAAATCACAGAGACAGTTTTATTCCTTCTGTACAGTAGTGAGGTTCACTGCTACAGTGTCATAAAGCTACTTTTCCTCCATGATGACATTGACTTCCTTCAGCAGGAACAGTTTTTCTGCTCTGGCCTCTCTGCTCAGATAGGCAGGATCGTCATGCAGTCTGGTTCTCATGCAAAAAGGAGCAATACCGCCGTTAACTAAAGTTTAGTTATCTAAGTTAACTGTCACTGAAAATGATGAGGGTCAGTGACTTTGTTAGCATAGAAGTTTAGTGGAAGTTTAATGTAAGTTGCTAAATCTGTATTAATATCTGTAGTCATTAATAGTTTATTTATTTAATTTTGTAAAGTGTGCTAGAAAACTCTACAAAAATGCTTCAAAGGAAACATGAAAGAGGCCTAGAAAAACCCTGTCAATATCTAATCATAGTTGATCATAGGCACTAGTCATTAACCCATTTGTGTCAAAATTTCCCACTATGCTTTCATGCATCTGAAGGTACTTCCAGTGACTCATTTATAGAGTTTCATAATTCATTTTCTCTGAACGTTTGTCTTTTAAAGAAAAACACATTGTAATACCTGGCAACTTAAGTCTCCAGTGAGCAAGTAGCTTAGTAAATGCACAAGCAACAGTCAGGACAAAAGTGAGTGTCGCTTGTGAACTTTAACACGTTTATTTGGAGGAATAGATCACCCACAAAAGTCATGGTTTAATTAAAAATAAATAAATAAATAAAATCATTTACCTGAAAGCTGTAGGTTAAAAACTCGTACATAAAATTTGCTAAAAGAAAATAGAACTCTTTAACTGCAACAAACAGGAAGCTGTTCAGAACACTTTTATAAAATCTACACAACAAAATAAGAAAATTAAATCAATATCTATATCTTAAAATGTATCTAAACAGTCATATGTGAAATGTCTTAAAGTTCCATATTAAAAAAACCTCAGTGTATTACATTTTGTAATAAATATTATGTTTTGAATGCAATGAACAGACTTGAAAACTTCTAACCTTAGAAACCATGTAATCAAAAATTAATTAACGAACTAATTAATTAACCATTATAAACATGTAAATTAATAATGAATTAATTGATTCGGGAAGAAAAGTATTGGCAGAATTTAATATATTTTTTTAATAAATATAATTATTATAATATTATAATATTATATATTATCCTATCTATCTATCTATCTATATATATATATATATATATATATATATATATATATATATATATATATATATATATATATATATATATATATATATATATATATATATATTCTAACATTTGCAAAACCTTTAGCTGGAAAATTATGAAAAAGTGCAAATACCAAAAGATAAAGTTAACAAATTGCTTTTGATGGCTGAGAATAGCATGCAAAACCTTTTCCAAAGTGTACCTGAAAAAAAATTACACTTGATTATAATGATACTTTGTTGAATTCAATGAAATATTTAAAGAATTTGAAGATTTTCCAACAATCTTAATTTTTAAAATAAGCAAATGCATTTAAGAAAATAAACTACAAGGTACTTGCCTACTGGCAACTGTAGTTACCACTTCAATTTTGCTATCAATATCCAAAAAATAAACAATACCAATGTCTTTGTGTGATTTTTTTCCCCACAATTAGCAATATGTCAACAAAAATGTGCATTAAATATACTGTATAAATGTTACCTTTGATCTGGAGGAATTGCCTCATGCTTCCGTGAAGTAATTACAGAAATTTGGCTTTATCACATGACAGGAAGTGAAGTAACTTTCTGGTGTGTATACAAAAGTCATTCATACAATTATGTTCTTCATGTGTAACTATATAAAAATCTTTATAATACTTTTCTACATTTTTATAAAAGAGAAAATAAGTTGCTGGGTTAAAATTAGAAATAATAATTAAAACAGGAAAAGAGATATTTTGAGCTTAAGCATGGGATTAGGTATAGTTTTATTTTAACATAATATAGTTAATATACTTAAGTTTTCAGAAGTAGTGCTTTTTTGAATTATCTGTACCCCCATAATTAATATTCGGTATACAGGTAATGAATGTCTTCCTGCTTTCTGTAATGTCTAACAAAGTTTAAAACTAATAGACGTGTGTTTTTGTGTTCTGGCAAAGGAAATTAGGTTTTGGGCAAAACTTTTTTGGTTTTTAGCAGAATTCATAATCAAGCATCTTTCAGAACATCTGAAACATGAAATCAGAACATAGTGAAGTTGCATCAACTATTGATTATTGGCAGCTTTTACTTATAGTGTAGGTGGTTTTAGATATTAACTTAGTAGTAGGCCAGTATTAGTGAGTATTTACATTTTTAAAGCATTTTATTAAGGAATCTATTTAATCATAACGCTGGTTGCAGTCTGAAGTCTTTTATTGTCATTTCTGTTATGATGATGGGTATTGGACATAATCTTGTACCTTTAAGTAACTTTCTTTTGGTTTGTGTTTGACAGCTGTTGGAAGATTGCCATTGTGTGCGGGATGCAGAGAGC